GTCAAAGCGTCGCCAAATCCGCCCTTCAACGTGCAGCCAAAGCAGACGATTCTGGGCCCTGAATGATCTTGAGATGCCAGATCCCGCAAACTTAAAACACCACTCGCTCCTCGACTTTTTCGCTGAGCTTCATCGTTTCAGCACCTGAGGGCACCGCGTTTACGAAGGACCGCATGTCATTTCCACATGGTGATCTCCAGCGCTACCCAAGAGTCTGCCATTGGGGGCATCCCTCTGACATCTGAGGGCATCGCCAGGCTCCAGAATTGGCGGGCTCCTTGGACTTCGAGGGCTTCGGGTTTAGGGGTTACTTCGCCGTGCAACGCTACGGTTTGCTTCATGAATCTCAAAAGAGAAGATTCTTCCGCGTAAGGGCAATATGGGGATTCTTATCCGTGATTTTTTGGGGGATTCCCAAGCAAGTAGTCGAAAGTATCCCGAGATGGGAAGGCTTCTTACTTCTCCAATAACCAAGGGGGAAAAAAGGTTAAGCTTGAATATCCCCACTACATCCTAAACCATAAACCCTAAACCCTAAACCCTAAATCCTAAACCCTAAACCCTAAACCCAACTGAAGGCGAAGTAAGGGCCCAGGCACGCCAGCTCCAAAGACAGCATGATCCCTTCGTCGTCGGGCTCCACGCGGCGGGTGTAAATTTCAGAGACGAGCTCATGCTCCTCCAGGACTCCGGGATGCTGCGGACGAATGCTAGGGTTTAGGGTTTAGGGTTTAGGGCTTAGGGCTTAGGGTCTAGGGTCTAGGGTCTAGGGCTTCTATATGATCGCATGCCCAGCGTACCCTGCATGCACTCTGCACTCCACACGGCGGTTCAGACCTCGACATCGTCCCCAGCCAGTTGAAATGTCCTGAGCCCATCTCGACCCTAAACCCTAAACTGCTTCCTTCTTGGGGGCATATTCAACATTATCATTTCTGTTCCTTATCGGCAATTTAATCTGACAACAATGTAAAATTATAACCAGAAAGGACCCAGTAAACCCTAAACCCTAAACCCTCGGCCCTACACCAGCGTAAGACGATTCAAGGGACCGAGGCGAGGCGGGAGCCCCATGTTGCAACTCTTCCCCGAATCTGCTCACATGGGGGTTTAGGGTTTCGGGTTTAGGGTTAGGGTTTGTAATAGGGAAAACTTACTTTAGAAGGGAACCTTGACCCCCCCAAAAAAAGGGAAAAGGGTACCACTGGGCTACCCTAAACCCTAAACCCTAAACCCTAAACCCTAAACCCTAAACCCCCAAGATGAAGCCAGCAAGGTGCACTTTGCTCCAGTCCACATCCAGATTCTGGCAGCCGATGTGCTTGGGAAGAATCCTCGGCATGGCGCCCAAGCTGGCAAGAGACTGTGTCCAGCACTGGCAGGTTTAGGGTTTAGGGTTTAGGATTTAGGATTTAGGGTTTAGGGTTTAGGGTTTAGGCTACCCTAATCGGCGCAGGCGTCTTGCGCAAGTCTCCGCAGGTCATGTTCATGGGGATGAGGAGCTTCTTGTCAATCGCAGGCAATCCTGTGGTGGGCGGGCGCATGCGGAGGTAACGACGTGCTGTGCAACAGCCGGCCAGCTGGGTGCGACAATCCGCGAGTCCTGGTGCCTCTGCCTGATTGATGAGGACTGGAACACGGTCCGGATGCTTCCTCAGCTCCATCATCGCAGCACACAGCAGCATTATGTGAGCAGCTAAAATGACCAAGCGTGCGGTCCCAAAGCTCAGATGCTGATCGTGCAATGACGGCTTTGCGTCGCACAACAGCTTTCGAGGGGAATGTGACTTGTGAGCATCTTGCTAACCCTAAACCCTGAACCCTAAACCCTGAACCCCCTAAACCCTAAACCCTAAACCCCCTAAACCCTAAACTTTGCTTTGTCTGTCCAACGTGGCCAAGCGGCTTGCGAATGCGTCTGGCTTTCTCTGCTGGGTCATCCTGGCGATCCCGGTACTGCGACCTTCCTTGACCCCAGATGCTTGCAAAATAAGATTAGGGTTTAGGGTTTAGGGTTAGGGTTTACGGCTTAGGGACCCAGAGGGTCCAGTTGTAGTACTATTATGGAACTAGGTACCCCAAAACCCTGTTCAGTATGGCTTTTGGGTGCCTAATTCCATAACAGTACTACAAATGGACCCTCTGGGCCGGTACATGGGTCTTCCCTAACATAGGATACCCCTAGCACGGCCCAAACTGCTATGATCCTGATTCCGAAAGGAACCTAAACCCTAAACCCTAAACCCTAAACCCCAAACCCCAAACCCCAAACCCTAAGCCAACCCCCACATGACCTCGTCATATGCCTGAGGCTCCCGTCCGCGCCTTCCTAGACGTGGGAGCAGCGCCCTTGGCTTTCTGCTCCTGTGTTGGAGGCTCATGGGTACTTGTTCAGCGCCAGTCCCCCAAAAAACGGTTGCAATGACCAATTAGAACTATATGATTAAGGTTTAGGGTTTAGGGTTTAGGGTGTAGGGTTTAGGGTTTAGGGTTTAGGATTTAGGGTTTAGTACCTGTAATGCTACGTAAAAGTACCCGCCAGTGAGCCTCCAAGTAAACGGCCTCATGACACCACCAGGAAGACACAGTGTCGTAGTGGCTGGTCATGGGGGCTTAGGGACTCTCACCAAACAGACAAAGACATATCTATATATATATGTATATATACACATATATATACATGCACATATAAAATATGTACTACACATGTTGATGGGGCCTATCGAATATGACAGTTCACGGGCTGAGACTCTAGCGCATGTGAACTTCTGCCACATTCGCGATTGTCCTGTGGGACCGCTTCGTTCATCTTGAATTCTTGGGGCCCTTCTGCTGCGTCCTGCTACAGCATGGTGCGCACAGTCAAGAGCAAGGAGCAAGCACCCTCCGGAATGCTCTGCATGGGCAGACGTCTTTTGTGGCACACTCATGCAACATTCTTTACTCAAAGAGAGTTCAGCCAGCTCAGCCTTGACATATTGCGTTGACTGTGCCGACCGATGCCTTAAGACCAAAACCTGTGAGAAGAGACATCCCAGGAGGGAAGACGGAGGGAGTTGGGGGGAGGGGGAGGGGGAGAGGGAAGAGGGAAGAGGGAGGGAGGGAGAGGGGGAGAGGCGGAGAGGGAGAGGGAAAGGGAGAGGAAGAGGAAGAGGAAGGGGAAGAGGAGTGAAGAGGAGTGAAGAGAAGTGAAGAGAGAAGACGAGAAGAGAAGAGCAAGAGAGGAAGAGGCAGTGGCCGAGTGCAGTGAAACTCCGTGGCCTCTGGGCGTTCGATCTCGGCGCCTTCGACCTTGAAGTACACCGCTCCATCCGGGGCCTACTCAAGGAGGAGAACAGTCAAGAAATATGTGTATATATATATATATTACTAGTGTATTTATTTATGATTTATGATTTGTATACACATACAGTCCGACAGAGAGACATGGCCGAGTAGCAGCTTCACAAGTCGCATGCACGCAACAGACGAAATGCAGGTCATTGCAGCTAGAGATGCAAGTCGCCACAGGTGCCCCCCGAGAGAGAGAGAGAGAGAGAGAGAGACGAAATGGGCATTTCCCAAAAATAGGGGTACCCCTTTTAACACCCCAAATAGAATCGAATCCCCTTAAATTCCCCGAAACAGGGTACCCCGATGGTCGGAAACCCCCAAATCAGGCCTTGTACTGAGAGTCCAGCTCCTTAAGCACTTTCTGCATTGGCACCTCCGCATCGGTACCATTGCCTCGCAGGCAGCGGCCCAGAGGGAAGCCGGGGATGATTGCGTGGACGGTTTAGGGTTTAGGGTTTAGGGTTTAGGGTTTAGGGTTTAGGGTTTAGGGTTTAGGGTTTAGGGTTCGGTGGAAGCGACTTGGGCCACATGCGCCCATGGACTGGCCTTTGCATAGCAAGACTTTGCTGGCATGCGTGGCCCACGCGCACTTCTCACGAGCGATGGCAAGGAACCTGAGTGATGAAGGTTAAGGAAGGATGAGGGGTTTAGGGTTTAGGGTTTAGGGTTGAGTGTCTAGGGTTTAGGGTTTAGGGTGTCTATGCATACTGCCTTCTAAGTGGAAGTCCAAACAGACAGTGAACACAATGAGTCTGCGTATGCTGAGGCCAAGGCCCAGCACCTTCGCGGCCGCGCGAGCGCTAAAACGAGACACTGCAAGAGACAGCTTTGGCTAGTTGCCGCACTTGTTCTGTATTTCCGGCTATATACTGCACTTATCAAGCAGCATGCAGGTCATGCAGGCTGCTGAGCAGCTGCTGACAGCACCTTTTTTTGCTGATAATGTAGGTGCCGTTGAGTTCGCACTGTCAACATCATGTTGCACGGCCTTGCCTGTAGTATGGTTGGGCACGATGAGTTTCTGCTGCTGACTCTTGTCGGAGGTGTTCACCTGCCCAGGTCATCGCAGCTAAGCCCAAAACTCTGAAGAGCTAGAACCGGCTAGAACACGTGACCATTCGGCGATCCACGAAGGTCTGGCATTCTTTACGAGGCAGTACGCGAGAGCACATGCCTGCGTGTACTCAATTGCCCTCGCCTCCCCCCCCCCGTAGCACCCTAAACCCTTTGCAGCAGGCTTGGTGGAGTCTCACCAGGGGTTTCTGGGCCGTTCGTGTTCACTCATTTTCACCCTTAACCCTAAACCCTAAACCAACTGCCGCCAAGCGTCGCAAATCACAGGAACATGATTTGGGTAGCGCTTTCGAAGCTTCTCCATCTGTCAAGCAACTGAGGCTTTCATTTACAAGTTGTCAACATCCATGGGTCTCCGGGCCTTGTTGTCCATGGCGGGCAGCGAAGGCTGCTACGAATGCAAATGAAGGTAAAGCCAAGTGCTTGGATGGCTGCAGAGGTTCTGCAACGCATTTGGCACAGAAGCTGGTCTCTTGAGTGAGATCACTGCCTAAACCCTAAACCCTAAACCCTAAACCCCAAACCCTATAGCGACATAGTGGTGCATGATTGACACGGCAGTCGACAACACAGGCGAATTCACCCGGCCATGCCTCGTAGCTTGTCAACTATCTGCTTGAATTCCTGCAACTCCGAGACCTCGGAATATCGGATATAAACATGCAACTTAGGGTTTAGGGTTTAGGGTTTAGGGTTTAGGGTGCAACCATATACTGTGACGATAAGAATGTGTCATGTAGTGCCACAAAGATTCGATAGGTTGTATGAATCACACGCAATATACTCATGATTTCATAATAGTATAACCACATACTACTAAACTGGACAGTTTCAGCGCCCCTCGGGGCCAGGGATTTTCTGGAGCACTCGGACACGAACGATGCGCTGCTCGCGTTCACGCCAGCGCTCAGCTTCCTTTTGCTGTTGAGCCTGGCACACGCTGGGCCAGAACCCAATGCCTCGCTGTCTTGACAGACGTCCGTCAAGTAAAAAGAAAGCCGAGCGAGTCCCTTACAACAAGACCATTCTCTTTCCTCGCTCGTTCACCAACTCTAAACACCATCTACAGTGTCTATAGAACTGTCGCTCTGTTGTGCGTAACGCGCAGGCAGCTACAAGAGTATGCCAACACCACGGCGACTGAACTCCCAGATGCTGATTGGGGTTAACCGCTTCTTGCAGGTCTACATGCTAATCCTTCTGAATATGGGCAGGCATCAGCCAGGTGGGATGCCTCTTCAGCACGGAGCCTGCTGCGTCGCCGAAGCCTGAAACTTTGCATGGTCAGGTGGTCAAGCACTGGTTCCGTCTGGACAGTCTTTGGTGTGACACTGAGTGGGGCCGCCAAAACTTCCCACATTCCCATTCCTGTCGCTTCCTGTCACCATTGTGCGGGGTGCGAGGCGTACTCCACCCGCGCAGTTGACAAAGGTTCCTAGATGATTTAGATGCATGTAACCCTAAACCCTAAACCCTAATTTCAGAGGATTCAAGTACTCGACAACCCTAAAGGCCTTGGGCTACGCGACTTGGCTGTGGCATCTTTCGGAGAAAGGACCAACCCATGGCTCGCCTTTCCTTCGCCCTTTCAGCCATAGGGTTTAGGGTTTAGGGTTTAGGGTTTCGGGTTTAGGGTTTACGGTTTAGGGCCATGCTCGTCTTTCACAAAGGCCATAAGGATGACTTGATGCAATCAGCAAGGAAACCATCGGAAGAATAGTAATGATAGCATTCATAGACAAGCTTGTAATTACAGTGCTGATAGAAATAATGCTACAGGCAAAGCTAACCCTGAGCAGTTGTGATTTTTACTTCAGTACTAAAAGTAAATAGTCACAGTACCAATAGGACGAAGAGTGCGAAAAGTACGTGATACTGATACAAACAATCGTAATACTAGTAATAGCACTAGCAGTACAGCAGCAGCAGCAGGAGGAGCAGGAGGAGCAGGAGTAGCAGTAGTAGCAGTAGTAGCAGTAGTAGCAGTAAGGAGCAGGAGGAGCAGGAGGAGCAGGAGGAGTAGCAGTAGTAGTAGTAGTACCTAATCCAACAGGGTTTAGGGTTTGGGGCTTAGGGTTTAGGGTTTAGGGTTTAGGGCAACCGGCCCAAGCCAGCCAGGTGTGCTCAGCTCCCGGCATGACTGCAACATGATGCTCGTCTCAGCCGTCATCTTGACTCTTGTGTTTAGGGTTTAGGGCTAGGGTTTAGGGTTTAGGGTTTAGGGTTTAGGGTTTAGGGTTTAGGGTTTAGGGTTTAGAGTTGGGATGTTCCCCCTTACACTAAGAGTCCTTAATGGGGATTAAAAATCGGGGGTACTGTAATCCTTATTAAGGACTCTTAGTGTCAGGGGGGGAACATCCCAAGTCATGATGTGAGACTCGTGTCACAGCAAACGCCCTCCTCTCCACTGAGAGCCCGACCGCTTGTGGCAGGTGCCTGCGCAATCAATGCAGTCGCGCCCTCTGAAAGCAGTGTCCAAGCCCTGATGATGATGATGATGATGATGATGATGATGATGATGATGATGATGATGATGATGTTTAGAAAATCTCTGAAGAACGCTATTTTCGGCAGACATATTGCTCTCGATGTGAGTGTAATCTTAAAAACTCTCAGATCAATGCAAGCGATACATTCTGGTGCCAATACCAGGATGGCCCTCAACAGCCCTCTGAAAAAGATCCTGAACAATAAGGGAAAACATAACATGTCTCAAGAGCCCTAAACCCTAAACCCTAAACCCTAAACCCTAAACCCTAAACCCTCAACCCCAGAATATTCGCGTCTCCATTCTTTATCGTTGCAGCCCGCAGTGTGGCCTCGAGCTGCGGCTTCCCGGCTCGCCTGGAACATGACTGATACCGAGTACTCTAAATAGTCATTGTAGAGGTGTGTATGTATATATATATATATGTATATATTTATTTATATTTATATATGTATATTTATATATGTATATTTATATTTATATTTATATTCATATTTATATTTATATTCATATGCATATTCATATTTATACCTATATTTATATGTCTATTTATATTTATATTCATATTCATATTCATATTTATATATATATTTAGTATATATGGATATTTATATTTATACTTCTATTCATTTCTCTAAATGAGAATGTATATATATATATATTAATATTATTACTATTCTTACTCTTATTCTTCTTCTTATTACTATTTCATTCTACTAGTATGTGTCGACACCTATACATCTAAATATATCCTCTTTCACAAATAACAAAATGTATGTACATATGTAGTTGATTGATGTAAACGTCCACCAAGCACTGCTAAGCACCAAGCTGCCGAAGAAGGGGCGCCTGGATTCCGCAAACGCTTGAAGACCCACTCGAGCGCATGGCGCGTCGTTAGGGTTTAGGGTTTAGGGTTTAGGGTTTAGGGTTTAGGGTTTAGGGTTTAGGGTTTAGGGTTTAGGGTTTAGGGTTTAGGGGTCTGGGCAAGGAGCCTTGAACGCGTTGCCCACACGCCGCTTTGCCTTGTGCTGACCTGACGTGCAAGAGCACGCATGCTTGCGTGCAAAGGGGCCAGCCCATTGAGTCAGATAATTGAGCTCCTCACGAACTTGAACCTGCATCTGGTTGTACCTCTGCAATACCTGGAGCTCCAACATGGGTCGAACAACGTTGCAGCCTTCCACAAGAGGACACGTGCGGCTATGCCTCCTGGTGCGCACTCTCGATGGGCTTCAAAGACCTTAAGGCCCAAATCGCGTAACGTGCTCGATGGTGTAGTCATTTGTTTACTTTGCGCTGGGGTACTGCGCGCTGCTCCATTTTGCCACGGCCTGGCGCTTCAGCTTAGCTGCTTAGCCCGCACCCGACGCGCATCAGAGAGTCACACAATACATTATAATATATATATATATACAAACAAAGCAATATAATGTGATGTTATATCGTAGCATTAAAATGTGATAGAATATAGTACCATGTGGTGCGAGCCTCTTTGGACTCGATTTCACGACGGCAGTTGGCCAACGCCAGCGTCTGCAGCACATTGCGTCTTTATCGGTGCAATGCCATAATGCCATGTGATACAGCATCTTCCCAGCTTGCCAGCTTGCGCTGGTGCTCCGCTCGCTGTCGATGCGCAGCGCGGAATCTGATGGATAATGCCGGAAGCCGCAGGACAGAAGGTATAAAAAGCTACTGAGGACTGGGCTCGGATTCCATCTCACCTCGTGGTATGCAGGGTGTCGGGTGCTTCGCCGCACAAGCTCGTGTGATCCGCTGTAGGAGTCCAGCTCACTTTTTGCTGCCAGACTTGCTTCTCCGCGCACTTCCTGAGTCAGGGTTTTAGGGTTTTAGGGTTTAGGGGGGTTTTCTCTTGCTCATGATGAACCCACGAACAGCAAGAGGACAGTCGACAGCAACTTTCACAAAAGCTTCAGTTGCATCAGGCACAACTCCGCCAAAGGCACTCCTCCCAGGCAGTGTGCATCTCTTCAGGTCCTGCTCGCCTGCTGTCTTTCTTGCGTGTCTTGGCATCTTGTCATGGAGGCCTATGGCTTCGCTCTGCATTGTCTTACTGGCTCTTATTCGGGAATCAGGGATTTTAGGTACCTTCTATGCCCCCTCGTGAGCCCCCGATATAACTCTTTCAAAACTACCGAAAAAAGGGACCCGGAATCCCCTAACTCCCTGATAAGAGCCAGCAAGTTGTGCGGATGCACGAATCTCGGATGCGGGCTGGATGGCCACTTCTAAGATCTGAGGCGAGTCCACAGCTCATCACTCTAAGGGTAGTTCCATGGTCCCTTCATAGGGGGCCCTTAAAGGAGAGGGGGGGGGGGGGGGGCCTTCGTAAGGGGCCGTGTATCCTAGGATTCACAGCACATTTAGCTGAACTGTGCCTGCAGCTCTTGCTCCAGGTTCGGGATCGCGGCTTCCTGTTCACGAGCTCTCTTTCGTTTTTTCAGAGGCCGCTGGGAGCTCATCACTTACCCAGAGGGTCCAGTTGTAGTACTACTGTGGAATTAGGTACCCCAAAGCTCTATTCAGTATGGTTTTTTTCCCCAAACGGACCCTCTGGGTTACATCTCATGAGAAGCCGTGGGTCCTGCTCCTGGTGCACCTGGCATCACACCAGAACCAGCGTGTATAACATACTTATTTCTTTATTTATTTGTTGACTTATTTATGTATATATTGTAATATCTGATCTATTGTGCACAGCATGCTCCATACTGAATACTATATATACTACATATACTACATATACTACATATACTACATATACTACATATACTACATATACTACACAATATACATATATACATATATAATAGTATCAATCAATCGCGTCTTTCAGTCAGGGCCGCTTGCCTGCTGGAGCCGGGAGCGCCTTCGCTGCAGCTTTTCTTCCAGCACCTTCCCCAAGCCCCATGCCCGGCGGCGCTCTAAACTGGCTGGTTCAGGGTTGAGGATTTAGGGTTTGGGGTTTAGGGTTTAGGGTTTGGGGTTTAGGGTTGTTCTTAGTAGGAGAATGAGGGAATGAGGTACCCTATAATGCCTCTATAGGGCCCTCATTCCATCATTCCACACTGTCACTTGGACGGGCTATGATTTGGGCTACCCGGAAAGGGCTCTAATCTAGAAACCCTAAACCCAAAACCCAAAACCCTGAACCCACACGTGACTCATGCGCGCTCATGCCACGTCAACGACATCGACGAGTCACGCCGGGGGCCTGGTGCTCCGCTGCAAGCTCCCTGAGTGGTGCGAGCGCGAGCATGTAAAGACACATGAATTATCACGTAAATGTGTCTTTAGGGTTCAGGGTTTCGACTCTCACACTGGCGCACGCGCTGGCAAGGCTCAGGTTTAGGGTTTAGGGTTTAGGGTTTAGGGTTTAGGGTTTAGGGTTTAGGGTTTAGGGTTTAGGGTTTAGGGTTTAGGGTTTAGGGTTTCGGGTATCGGGTTTAGGGTATCGGGTTTATACAAGCACACAAAAGGCATGTAAGGCGAAAGGCGGAATTTTCAAGCAGAAAGAAAAGGCATGTGCTTGGTGGAAAGAGGTTCAGCTCTTGCTTTTTCAGGTGCGGCAGTCAGCTGCGCTTGGGTCTCTGAAGGGGTCTGACATGAACGGCCCTTTGGCACATATGCCTCTGTTTCGGTTGGGGAGTCAAGTTGGCTTCGGCACCGTTCCCAACGAACTTGAAAGATAATGACAGGAGTGACAGGACAGACACAGTCACCTCGCTCCAGAATTAGAGAGGAGGGCTCCGATCTGTGGTGGTGCTGCTTGTAAATAATGCTTGGTCGCCCAGAAACCATATTATAATATTTAATATAGGGGAACCAAGAACCAAAAAAAGGGGAAAAGGGTACCACTGGGCTGCCAAGAATGAGACGTGCAGTGAGCCACAAGGCCAGCATTCCGGGCCAGGGGCCAAAGCTCCACTGCAATTATGGTCAGCAGTGTCTCATAAGTTTATTGCGTTGAGAGGTTCCTGCGCTTGCGCAAGGCCGTTTTCAAAACAGTGGCTGATATCCGCCGGCGAAACTTCAAGAATGTGATCTTGTAGGCATGCGTTTCAATTGCCATGCTGCTACAAGCGCCGCTTTCTGCGAGTGAAACTTGTACTGTGACAGCATCTGACAAGGCGCCACGTTGGACTCGCGGTTTGAGAAACTCTGCACTCACGACGCCGGCGTGGGACAGCTCGGCATGGGCTTCAACGCGTCATTCCACATGCTGTGGGACCCCACATCACCGCAGGTCTTACTGGAGGCAACCCGAAACGCCCCGATGCCCATTCTGTCCGCCAATCAGGGGGCGTCAAACTGCACTGCGGCCCCTGTCCAAGAGCCTTTGGCTCCAAACAGCTCGGATATGTTGCCATTCCCGCTTGCGCAAGCGTAGCACTAGAAACTGCTGACGCAGGAGGTTGCGGGCCCGGGCCCAATCAACGAGATGTGAAAATCCGGTGAGAAAAGCACCTCTCTGCAGAGCTTCTCCATAAATACACATGGAACGGAAGCGCTCGTTGAAAATCGTCGGAACCATGACAGCATCGAAGCGCGCTTACATGCTTTGACAGGGAAGTTGAAGCTCTTGGCGACATGAGAAGAACGCCGGCTCAGTAGCTGCTGGACAGGATGACTCAGTATACAGGCCGCTTCGCGCGCCCAAGCCTGCACATGTCAATCAGTTCAATTGACAGGCGGAAGGAAGCTGAACTGTGTGCCTGGATGGCTTTGCCGCAACATGGCTCTGAAACTGCTCAGCAGCAATGTTGAGTCTGCAAGTGTCTCACACGGGTTTGACATTCGTACATCAGCTGTTCAACTTCTTGATTTGCTGGGGATAGTACGCACATCCTGCACAACCAGCAAGAACAAAAGCAAAGCTAATGCCCGGCGATGCTCCTGGCACTTGGAGGTATCGATGTGGCTGTGGCTGTACTTGCACCTGCCAGGTATGGTACTAACTATCTGGCAGTGGCTGCAACATGTCTAAACCCCTATAAACCCCTAAACCCTAAACCCTAAGCTTTGCCTAACTGTGCGCCCAAAGTATCTGGCTCTCTCCCTGTCTGCATTCAAGCCGCTGCTTCGTCGGCGGGGCATCAGCCAGGCAAGTCCCACCTGGAGCTCTTTGGCAGGGTTTTACAAGGTTTAGGGTTTAGGGTTAAGGGTTTACAAGGGTTTAGGGTCTTTTGATGCTCAAACCTTGCTGGTTCTAGTAGGGAACGGGGGAATGAGGTACCCGATAATTATCCCTTAGAGGGTATATGTAAGGGGATATAAGGTACCTCATTCCCTCATTCCCTACTAAGAACCAGGGGGAAAAGGGGAGAAAAGGTGGGCCGAACGCAAGCAGGACCCTTCCCCTGCAGCCGCGTCACATCGCCAATCCTGGGTTGATCACAGCGAAATGGAGGTCCAGGCCTACTTATAAAAGTGAGGTCTTTTACGTACACTAAACAAGGCTATCACGAGTTAGAACTAGAGTTACCCTACCTACAACCCTGCTAAGAAGTACGCAGGAACCTCCCAGTCAGCTTAGGTACATTGACAGGAAACCACCTTGAAGCAGTTTGCATGCTTGGCAAGGCCGCTTTACGTCATGGCGCGAAAAGGGGCAGCAGCCTAAACCCTAAACCCTGAACCCTATAACACTAAGAGACACACAGGATGCCGTCAGGCGGCTGGGCCCCGTCGCCAACACGGGTTGCGCCGCACGGCTGCCGCTGTGCAGCTGCATGTACAGCCTGGGGTTTAGGGTTTAGGGTTCAGGGTTTAGGGTTTAGGGTTTAGGGTTGACACATTCGAGACGCTGTGGGGTCTGGAGTGGTTTTATACCTTAGGGTTTACAGGGTTTCTTTGTAGGTTTATACAAGGGTTTTATGGCGGAATAGGGCTTAAAGGGTTTATAGGGCCTGCAGGGTTTATAAGTTTTACAGGGTTTACAGGGTTTTCTAGAGTTTGGGGTTTATAGTGGTTTAAGGGGTTTATAGGGTCAATAGGGTTTATAGGGTTCACATCTTACAAGGTTTGGAGGGCGTATAGGGTTTACAAGGTTTATAGGGTCTATAAGGTTTATAGGGATATAGGGTCTATAAGGTTTATAGGGTCTATAAGGTTTATAGGGTCTATAAGGTTTATAGGGTCTACAAGGTTTATAGGGTCTATAAGGTTTACAGGGTCTACAAGGTTTATAGGGTCTATAAGGTTTATAGGGATATAGGGTTTAGGGTTTTATGGGGTTTTAGGGTTCACAGGGTTTGCAGGGTTTATAGGGCTCGGGGGGCAACTCTCGAGTGTCAGGCACTTCAAGCAGAGAGATCCCGTGACTCACCTAAACCCTAAACATCCCTAAACCCTAAACCCTAAACCCTAAACCCTAAACCCTAAACCCTAAACCCTAAACCCTAAACCCCTGCACCTGCAGCGCTCTTTGCCGTGCCAGCTGATCAATGGGGATGGGGACACCGCTGCTTCCAGGGCGAGGCGGCCTGTAACATTTTGTTCGTTTCGACTCTCGTGCTAGCACACTCGCAGGCAAGGCAGGGGGCTGAGGGTTCAGGCCGTGATCCCTAGACCCTGAACCCTAAACCCTAAACACTCTGAGTACCACAAGCACATGAAACAAAGCACATCTGGTGACAAACGGCCCACCAAGATTGGCCTTTGTACCTGCTGTCCTTTTGCTTCGGTGTTCGGACGGGGTGCACGGTTTGATCCTTTGGGCAGATTTGGGCAGCCATCTCGATCATGAACGAGCACGAACACATGCTGATGAAGGCTGCTGAAAGGTTCAGCCCCTCCCCCCGCGATCTGAAGAGCAGCTGACTTTAATGGCCCTAAACCCTCTAAACCCTATAAAAGCCTAGAAACCCCTATAAAGCCCCAAAATCCTTATAAGAACCCCATAAACCCTATAACCCTATAAACCCTGTACACCCTCACCCGACAACCCCAAAACCCTACCAACTTCCTGGTTCGATGACGCGCCTGGCTTCTTGGGCTTGTCCTTGTCTTGCGGGCGTTGCACGTCCAGTAGCCTCGCGCACTTGCACCAAGCCGGAAGACTGCTGCAAGCAAGCCTTTTCTTTCTGAAACATGAAATATGCAATTTCACATAAAAAACCTCATAACATACTATATTTACAAATACATATGTGCGTATGTATGTATATATAATCCGCATAAAATATACATATATATATATATACATATGTGTGTGTGCATGTATGTATATGTATATATATATACATTCATATATATATATATACAGATAGATAGTGATATATATATATATATATATTATTGGCGAGCTGCTTCAAGCAAGATGTCGCTTAAGAGCAGTGGGACCAAGCGGCCTCCACGGACCGGCCCCGGGTCGCTTTCGCGCGCTGGCTCAAGGCCTGTTTAGGGTTTAGGGTTTAGGGTTTAGGGTTTGGGGTTTAGGGTTTAGGGTTTGGGTTTAGGGACTTCCAGCTGCAGACACCCCCAACCGGAGCAACCCCTGGGAAACACCACAGGGCTTATAGGGTTTTACAGGGCTTATCGGTTTTCAGAGGGTTTGCAGGGGTTTATGGGGCTTATAGGCTTTTACAGGGTTTAGGATAGGGTTCATAGGGTTTTGTAGGGTTTAGGGTTCTGCGCTCACAACGCCGGCCTGCCAGACTGCATCCTCGGCCACAGCTTTTGCAACATGCGATGCTGTCGGGATGTTCCCTCCTTATACTAAGAGTCCTCAGTAGGGATTTTCATAGGGGGGGGGGGGGGGGGGATACTATACTCCCTCTTAAGGACCGACAGTCCTCAGTAGGGCTTTTCATAGAGGGTTACTAGAATACCCTATTAAGGACTCTTAGTATAAGGGGGAACATCCAAAGGATGCTGTCAGGTGTGGGAGATGTCGTGCTCTTGGCCATGTCAAGAGCGGAAAAATTAAACGGCCTCCCATAAACGCAGCCGCGATTCCAGGTCCTGCCTTTGCAGCTCGGCATACGTTGGAATTTTCAGCATCTCCTGCGCTGGCACAGAAGCAAAGTTAGGGCTTAGGGTTTAGGGTTCCGCTTCAGGAAGCATCTCATTCGCGATGCTCGCTTTGGCGGCGATGTCCTGTGCCAGCAACAGCCGCTCCTTTGAAGACTCATATCTTCGCAACTGCCTGGCCCAGGCGAGAAGTTTGCACATGTGCCTGGTCATAGATTCGTCTGATGCAGGTGCTTATGTCCCCTTAATAGGGATTATAACCGGGGTACTATAATCCCTATTAAGGACTGTTAGCATTGATGCTGGTTACCATCTGCCGGTGGTGTTGACATCTGCACGGGCCTTTGAAAGCCATCGTTGGGGCAAACTGCGGGACGCCGCTGGGAAACGAACTGCAGCGCGTGCTCAAAAGAGAGGTTCCTTGCAGTGTTTGAAAGTAGTGCATGCGTACCTGTATACACATATTGTAGATACATTTAGAATTAAGCAAATATAAATATAAACATATATATATATATATATACAGGTACAGATACAGATACATACACTACACTACACTACACTACACTACACTACACTACACTACACCACACTACATTACATAAAACAAATATGTAATGTACAAATACGCAACTTTTTGGAATTATATGTCATTCTATGCAGGATGTGCAGCAAGGCGGACCGAGGCGCAAGTGGGCCATGAGGTAAGCGCATATCGAGGTAGAGCTTCTGGAAATCCCTCAAAGGGGGTCTTGGGGGTGCATTTAGGGTTTAGGGTCTCGGGCTTAGAGTTTAATTAGGGGGGGCTTCCATGTTGTTTTTGTAGAACACAACACATTTGACGGTTGCTCACACGCACTGAGCCAGGGGCGTGTCTGAGTGTCTTTGCAAACAGGCAGAGTGCTGTGGGTCATTGGATGTACTTGTGAGTCACAAGTCACAGTGGATGAACCAGTGACCAGGCGCCTGCTGCACAATGGACATACACGCAATGCCCACTATGTCGAGATGCTGAGATGAAGCGCACGATTCCTTAGTGCACGCGCGAGGGCTGTGGAAGATGAAGGACTGCTGAGGCCAGGTGCCGTCTGAATGGTGCCGGGACACGTGGAAAGTGGATGCCTGATGCGGAATGTCTCGGTCGAATTCAGCTCGTGACCAAAAATCTGACGGTCATGCTGGAGTCATGGCGGATGCTGCGTACTCTGACTTAATTACCCATGTCTGTCCCAAGAGACTTTATCTGAGATGCCTCGAACATTATGGAAACCACCAAGTCCTTCGGCTACTGAGTGCCGGATGCCAGATGAGTCAGATGAGCGACTCAAGTCGGCGGTAGGCACGTCTGGCAAATTCACGTGCTCACCTTCAGGGGCGGGCAGGCACCAGCTTCTTAAGCTTCCGGATGCAGAAGCATGTTGCGGAATGCATGCCAGCGGACATGGCATCTCCCCGAACTACTTGTTTCCCAAACCAGGGCCAGGCAAAACCCCCAGCCACTCACCCAACCACCTTACAACAAACCCTAAGCCCTAAACCCTAAACCCTAAGCCCTAAACCCTAAGCCCTAAATCCCCCTGCATCTCAGCTGCACAAGGTGCTTAGAGTACTCGGTGCCGAGAAACGGGCTGCCAGGCGGATTCGCTGCGATGGAGTGGCAGGGCCCAGGGACAGCACACCTCTGAGCTTAGAGGGTTTAGGGTTTAGGGTTTAGGGTTTAGGGTTGCTTCCATGGAACATGAGGGCTCTGGGGTTTGGGGTAATTATGAGCACAACTGAAATCTGCAGAGTCTTTAAAAGGGTTTAAGGTGTAGTCCTTAACACGTAAACTGGCGGGCCCTCGTGTACTGTGTCCAGTGCACAGACAAGCCGCAGGTTATGTTGTTCCTGAGTGGCGCGGGACACTTGACGACCGACATGTTCTTTGCCAGAATGCACATAGAACCCAGAGGGTCCATTTGTAGTACTATTCTGGACTTAGGCACCCAAAAGCCACACTGAATAGGGCTTTGGGGTACCTAATTCCATAATGGTACTACAACTAGGGTTTAGGGTTTAGGGTGTGGACCCTCTGGGGAAGTGAGAGACTTTGCCAGACAGCCGAGCATCTTCCGAAAGAAGTCAACATCGTCCAACACATCTTGGCCTGCCCGCATCAAAGTCGCACACCTAAACCCTAAACCCTAAATCCTAAACCCTAAACCCTGCAAGGTCCGGGCCTCCTAGCCACAAGTTTGGCAGAATCAGGGACGGTGCACCGCCCATAGCTGCAGCTTGATTTTGAGCTAGTGGCGGCATTCCAGCATCCGGTCTCAAATTCCAAGAAGCTCATCGTGGATGCTCAAGTTTCTGAATCCAGTAGGTACCCTGATTTTGAAACACGCTGAACTGGGACATCCTTGCATTGAGGACTCGACTGGTATCTGGTGGTGGAACACTCACTCTGGTCTGCCTTTGCAGAGGTTCTTCTGGATAAAGCTTCTGAAAGAACCAGCTGCTCTCTTGCAGAGGACTTGGCCGCTAGCCATCATCCTTGCTTCAATGCCAGGCTCCTAACAGCTAGTGCTCAGCAGTGCAGGAGTCGAAACACGAACGGCGCCGTACGTACACAAAGTTGCTCAGGCCGGACAGCTCAGAACCCTACACCCTAAACCCTAAACCCTAAGGCATGTTTCCTCAACCATGGCGTCCTGTCTGCAAATCAAGCCTTCAAGCAGCGCCTCCTGCATTTCGGCCTCGGACAACGACTGAGTTCTCGACCATTTGCCCCCTAGGGGTTAGTGTTTAGGGTTTAGGGTAAGCCCTAAACCAGAAACCCCCAAACCCTAAACCCTCTAAGCCCTACACCCACCTGCCTTCTCCACGCGCTTTTCCAACAGACCGATCTCCTGGAGTGCCTTTCACCATGGGTTTTAGGGGTTTAGGGCTTGCTGTAGTATGGTGCAAATGCTGGAAAGGTTCGGCCAGATACGGCCAGTTCAAGGGGTTCCAGAGGGTGCCAGGGTCCGTAAGGGGTTCGGGGGAGGTGTCAGAAAGTTCCCTTTCCCCAAGGGCGGGCCCCACGCAGCTTGGGGCCTCCGGGTTTACTGTTTAGGGTTTAGGGTTTAGGGTTCTTGTCTTGACCTTAATAAAGGACCGGTTGAGGAGAACGGGCCCCGGGACCCATGTGGATGCTGCCGACCTCCGAGCTGTGGGAGGCGGACGCGGCTTGCTTGGCATCGAGGTCGAGGGGCTTCAGCGCAGCCCCCCACCCTAAACCCTAAACCCTAAACCCTAAACCCTAAACCCTAAACCCTAAACCCTAAACCCTAAACCCTAAACCCTAAACCCTACCATGTTCGAAAGCCCCCATTTGCATCGCTTGGCCTCCGCTCCCTGCTCTTGTGAAGTGCCCAAGGCGTCACTCGCATCAGCCTGCAAAGCGCACAACACCGCGCGACGGCAGTCAAGTCAAGGTTGCAGAGGGTTTAGGGTTTAGGGTTTAGGGTTTAGGGTTTTAGGTTTTTAGGGTTTAGGGCTACTGCCTGGCAATCTGGACTTTTGGGACGGGGGGCTCCACCCCGCCGCCCCCACACACCCCGCTCCCCCCGCCACGCCCCAAACTACCAAGTTTGTAGCGCAAGTGCAAATTGCATGGCGGGGAAAGACCCTCAGGTGCAGGAAGCCATTTTTCCGGATTGAAGTCCGGTGATTTTTTTGTGTACCATCAAAACCGGAGTCGCGCGTTCACACAGGCATTTCGGACCGTCTTGGATTTGTTGGGTTTGGTCTTGTGGAGTTGTGAGGCTTCTGACACTTGGGGCTGTGTACTTCGGGTTGTCTTGGATTCGTTGGGCTTTTTTTGTCTTGAGCTTTTGGCGTTGGGGCCTGTGCAGGATGTTTTGGACTTTGGGTCTCTTGCTTGGGGCGTGTTTAGTGCTCTAGGGTGCAGCCTCCGACTGTCTCCATATACCCCCGAAAAGCAGTAACCCCAAAACTCTTCTTGTTTTTGGTGCAGAGCTTTGGGCGAGGGGTTTAAAGCTTGGGGTTAGGATTATGTTACCATGCTGGCTTGCATTGGGTTTATACTGACAACGTACAGACAGAACTACCTACCCCCCCCCCCTCCCTGATGGAAGTTGTTTCAGAACAGGGTAGTAGTTGCGAGGAGGGAGGGCGGAGGGGGGAGGTGTCGCCTACGACGACGACTACCATTACTACTCGAGCATTACAATAATATATACGAAAGCACTATGGCGATTACGGCTATAGCGGAACTATCACCTCGACTATAGTCATGAGTACTCTTGCTTACTACTAAAGTTTCAAAATAATGGCCGAACCTTGGCTATTGGTGTATATGGGCTTCCTTATAAATATTGGTGAGTGTACATACCTGCGTCCTTTTGGGGATACTAGCAATATAAACCACATATACTTCACATGTTTCTCTTAGTCTTGGGGAGTGCCGAGCGAGCCTCCTGCTCACGGCTCTGCTAGACTCTGCGTTTCTTGAAGCTCGTTTCGGGGTCAGGGTACAGGGTTTAGTAGCTTGCAGAGTTCCCCTTTGGACGAGAATGGGTCCTCCACTCTTGTATTCACAAGACGTGCGCCCCGCCTCTCGCATGCACTCGAGCTCCATGAGCATGTGCAACTCCTCGGCAGCAGCTCGCGGAGTGCGGTGTTGGGCAATTCCAAGCCTGGACCTGTCATAGCATCCTCCCCGCAGCTGCAAAGTCAAGTCTGGGTCACTTCCTACCCTAAACCCGAAACCCTAAACCCTAAACCTTGTATTAACCTTATAAACCCCAAACCCTAAACTCTAAGCCCTAAACCCTGGCATCTGATTTTTGAGATTCTAAGCTTCCGCACCTTCGACTGTTGGCCCATTCCTGCTCACAGTGGACTCCTGTCTCTCCGGCCGCCCTGTCTGCGCATCACCCCCCAAACCCTGAACCCTAAACCCTAGACCCTAAACCCTAAACCCTAACCCCCCAAATCAATCCAACCTCGTGCCCGAGTGGTCAACTGGCCGAGGTGGGCTTTCGCCTGCAGGGCAGCTTGCATATGCCATGGCGCTAGTAATGATATATATTTCTTTATTTATGTAAGGATAATAGTAGTAATGACAATAATCCTCATAGGAATACTCATAATAATAATAAAATAGAATAGAATAGAATAGCATAGAAAAGAATAGAATAGAGTAGAACTAATACAAACATGTAAAGCATATCAGAATATAATACTACAATCATAAAAAAGTAGAATGACACAATGGACTCGTCTATGAAATACAACAACTTTGTAAAAAAAAGCGGCAAAAGTCATATAAACCATAATAACAAGAGAAGAACATAGGTATCTCCTGACAGGGGCAGGACACCGAAGCAAGGTACCCTAAGCCCTAAGCCCTAAGCCCGAAGCCCTAAACCCTAAACCCTAAACCCTAAACCCTAAACCCTAAACCCTAAACCCTAAGCCCTAAGCCCTAAACCCTAAACCCTAAGCCCTAAGACGTTTTGAGAGCGGTTGTGCAGCTTCGGCCTTCCGGCCTTTGGCCTTCGCCCGCCTCGTTTTGGGCCCTAAGGGTCCACGGACCTATCTAGTGTATACTTGGGCCTTGAAGGGGTTTAGGGTTTAGGGTTTAGGGTTTAGGGCTAGCATAGTTTGTGGGCCCAAGTATATATTGGTATAGGCACGTGGACCCTTAGGGTAGGATATGTAAACTATTGCCTGCCGCGGCGGAATGCCTGCGGCCACCATCTGTGGGCACTCGACGTGGCCACGAGCACAGGACCATGGGGAAGAAGGTGGTACCCATGGTAAAAACTATAGGGTTGTTAAGGGAGGGGGTTCAAAGGGGGTATGTAACCCATTGTTCCCTAATGGCCCTACTACTCCCTAAGCTTGCCTAGGTACATACCCCCCCATGAACCCCCGTCCCTTCAGAACCCAAACCCTACACCCCAAACCCCAAACCCCCAAACCCTAGAACAAAACAAACCATCGATGCTCCGGCTGCTCGAGTCGTTGCTGCACCTGTGTCCGGTGCCGGGCCTTGTCAAGTCCACAGCGACCCTACGCTACAACAGCTGACCATGCTGGGAGGTTCATGGGTACTTCTAAGTAGGGTTTGTAAGAAGGGTTTTTTCCCAGCCGTTTCGCAAGCGTGTAAGAAGGGTTTAGGGTTTAGGGTTTAGGGTTAGGGTAAGTATAGTTGCGGTGAGAGGGGCTGGTTTGCCCGCGCTACATGGTCCGGGGCAACATCGTTTGGACTGCGCAGGCGCGTACTTCTGTGGCACCTTTCCATGTTCTGTTTCAGCTGCTATTCCCCTTTTCCTGAAAAGGGTAGCATTTCTGCATTTGTAGGCTGGAAAAGGTGTCGGTGCAAAACGCTTGATTTTAGCTTCGCCCGCAGACCCCTGATGGAAGACTCAGGAAATGCTGTTGACAGCATTCCAACCCCCCGTTCTTTTGTAAGTTCTCCCATGCTTGCCCCGGTCCCTCCCCGCTTTTTTAAGTCGCGCAAGCTTGCTTCAAAGCACACGTATATGTTAGAAATCCATGATGGGGCTGCCCCCCCCCCCCCCCCCCAAACCCCCCCGCTGCTTAACGTTATATGTTCGAAAACCATGATGCCAGCGTTGCGTTTGCAAAATGGGGGGGTTGCGCTCCCCCCCCCAACCCCCCGTTTTTTTCTTTGTATGTTTATTTTATGTCGTGCAAGCTTGCTTCACAGCACACGTATATGTTGGAAAACCATGAGTTACGTTCTTCGAATGCCTGGCGCTTTATTGTGAGGTGAAAAACAAAATTCAGTTTGTTTTGTTTTAGTGCCCTTGTCTCATTGATGATTTTCTTGAGGCGATGGTTTTTCTGTTGAAGTTCTCTGACAACATTTCCGCTGTCTCACATTTAGGCTGCGGTTGACAGAGTTTGATATTCGTGACATTTTGACTCAAGCTGCCGGAGACGGCTTAGAGAGTGGGAAGCCCCGAATCGGGGAGTGTGGAAGAGTTTCCCCACCCGACCCACCCTACACTGGGGTGTTCTATCCAATCGGATATGAAACATTAAATGCAGGAGGAGAACCTGGAACGAACTTTTCTGGTCCAGGACCATTACGGTGTCGACCTCTGGCATCGTTGATGACATCAAACAGGATATAGTGCGTCGCTTCATCACCTTGAGAGGCGTATACATGCGTCGACCCCACTTTTGCCTTTTGCTGAACGGTGAACGTGTGCCTTTCACAACCAGTGTGGCTGATGTGCCTGATGCCAGCATTGTGTGTGCAGATGGGGGAGGCTGCGCCCCCCCCCCCCCCCCCCCTGCCCCCCTGCTAACAGTCGCGCAAGCTTGCTTCAAAGCACACGTATATGTTGGTGATGCCAGCATTGTGCTTGCAAATAGGGGGGCTGCGCCCCCCCAACCCCCCACCCCCGTTTTTTAAGTCGCGTAAGCTTGCTTCAAAGCGCTCGTATATGTTTGAAAACCATGATGCGAGCATTTGTGTGCACAAATGGTTTTTTTAAGTCGTGCAAAAGCCTAAACCCGCAATCTATATATTCTGTAGATAACATTGTCTCTGGAAGGAATGCTTGTGGGCAAACCAGCCCTACTCCTGCGCGTATAGTTGCAACTGGGCATAACCTTGCTTTAGAGTACTTCTAACCACACTTAGAAGTACCCCTGAACCTCCAAGTGCAGCCATTGCTGCCATTGCTCTGCCACACTCCTTCTTGGTAGCCCAGTAACCAATATGATGACAAGGGCACCCTTTTTTTGGGGTTGGCTATTTGATAAGGGAACCCAGAAACAAAAAAAAAAAAAAACAGGTAAAGGGTACCACTGGGCTGCCAAGCTCTACTCTGGTCCGCACACCTCTCCTCTGTGAGGAGGCCCAACCCACGCTGGCAAGCTGGAGAGGGGGACGGGACACAGGTAAAGGTTGGCACATGCTCAGAGCTGCTCTGCAGCTCCACGTGAAATCAATTTCAAAACTTGCAATAGCTCAGAAATCTGGGCTTTCTTGGGTGCTTCAATCTCATGGAGACTTTACATGCCTGGCATAAGGCCAAAGGTGGACTGAAGCAAAAGAATTGGGAAGGACTCCCCCACACTAGCCCTGGACTAGTTGGCAGGTGGATCGGCATCCTTCCATGAGGTTCGATCGTGCTGGGCCGCCTTAGGCGAGGCTCGTGGCAATGTCCATGCTATGTCACATCACCTGCAGGTTTCGAAAACCCTCTCGCTGCCCACCCACTGCAAACGTCTTGCAATATCTTCGTACCCACCAGCCAGGGCTGCCATTTCCTCAGATGCTGAAGTGGCCTGGTGGAGTGATGCTACACTGCTACTCCCGAACAACCCTAAGCGGCCCTAAACCCTAAACCCTGAACCCTAAACCCGAAACCCCAATCTGCCAAGCATCTGCGGTCTCGCCCTCGTCATCTGCAATACTGGCGTCTGCGCCATAACTCAGCAGCAGGTCCACGGCTGCCAGGTGCCCAAAGCTTGCAGCCAGATTCAGCGCAGTCCATCCAGACCTAGAGATGCGCAACATGATAACAATTATTCTCATTGTGATGATGATGATGATGATGATGATGATGATGATGATGATGATGAGTATGATGCCCTCTTTCGGGCAACTTGCTGAACTCATACGTAATTCGCTGAACACGCGTTGACAGGACAGGAGAAACCTTCTTCGTGCCTTGTCTGCCCTGGTCGCGTAGTGCACTTATCTTTGCTGACAAGTAAGGCGCGCACTGCCCAGCGTCATTTACCTCGGCCAAGTGCAAATTTAGGAAAAAGAACAGGACTAAACCTTGCAGGCCATTGCGGGATTTACCTCGGCCAAGTGCAACTTTAGAGACAGAAAAACAGGACTGAACCTTGCAGGCCGTTGCAGGCCCTTTCTCTTTCTCCACACCTGTTGAGCCTAAAACCAGCTTCCCAATATAGGAGCTTCCCGACACACCCCCTCTCCGCCCGAAGGTCGTCTAAGCAAAACAACCAGGCACGGCTGGAATCGCAGCCTAAGTTAACTAAGCAAAACATGAGAATGCAGAATGCTGCCCAGACAGTGCAAACACGAAATGTGTAGTGTCATAGCTTTGAAACCGAGCGGGACTGTTTAGTACGATCACCACCGCCTACCACCGTCTTCAAGACGAGGGGGCATTACAAACAAGCTCACAGCTTATGCTGGAAGCTACACTGCTTCCAGGTGTTGGACATCTTCAAAGTGGTAGAATGGACAATGCACCGAAAACCACAGAAGCTCTGGCTGGGCACAGGCAGCGCATGACGCTAATGGCTAGTTTCAGATTCCGTTGCTGGGCATCCTCAACCCTAAACCCTAAAACCTGTGGCATGTGCAGGACTATGTCCAGGACTTTCGTTGAAAGGTTGGGAGTCGGTTCGGGCGCCGTTCTTCACACCAGAACTTTGGGGTTAGGCGGCCGCATGAGGCCCGCCAGAAAATCATGGTTGTTGGACCAGGCGCACACCCTAGCCAATGTTAGGCAAAACCGGGACCCAATCCGGGACACATCGGCTGGGCCCCGTGACACAGTGAGACTGTGTGTAAGAGTGTCATTAACTTGACTGCTGGGAGAATACAATCGAAAGCGTTCCTAGAGTGCGGCTGGTTGGCAGCAGCACGATGGACAAGCAAGGACAGCAGGATGTCGTCATATCCTGACTGCGCAGCGAGGAGGAGCGAATTGTTCTGGTCCCCGTCCCTCATGTTCCTCGCCGGAAGCGCAACAGAAACCAGAAGCACCAGAAAGTCTGCAAATCTTTAAGCACATGCTGCAGGAAAGCGGCACTGTGGCTTGATGCTTCAGCAAGTGCATGACGATCTCAGCATGCCCAAAGGTAGCTGCCAGCATGAGAGGTGTTCGGCCATTGAGAGCCTGCACGTTCACATCCGTCCTGTGGGCCAGAAGGTCTCGCACAACTTCGGCGGCACCATATTGGCAGGCGACCGCGAGAGCGGTGAAACCATTGGCTGATGCAGAATCCGCATCTGCGCG